GAGGGAGGCGGGGGCGAGGGGGCGGGGAGCGGGTGCGTGTGCGAGGGGAGGAGCGGGGCGGGAGAGTGCAAGGGGAGGAGAGGGCGTGTGAGTGTGCAAGGGGGGAGAATACGGTGTGAGTGTGCAAGGGGGAAGGCAGCAGGCACAGGGTGTGCAGAGCGCGGGGGGAGGCAGCACGTGGGTGAGTGTGCAAGGGCGGGAGGATGGTGTGTGCGTGCAAGGCAGGGCATGTGGAGAACACGAGTGAGTGGTGGGAGGGGGCGGTGTACAAGTGAGTGTGCAAGTGGAGCACGGAGTGAGGACCCTGCTGTGCAAGGGGGGGGCACTTGGAGAGTGTGAGGGACTTGTGAGAGGGACAGCGTGCAGGTGAGTGTGCGAGGGGTGGTGTGTGTGTGCACACGAGTGTGCAGGGTGAGGAGGACGGGTCTCCCCGGCGCTGCGGAGGCGGGTGTCCGGCCGGGGCTCAGCACAGCCTCTCCCTCTTCCCTGGCCTCTCCCTCTTCCCCGGCGTCTCCCTCATCCCGCAGCCGTGCCATGGAGGTCAGCCACTCCGTCAAGGAGCGCACCATCGCTGAGAACAGCCTGGTCATCCTGCTGCAGGGCCTGCGCGGCCACGTCACCACCGTGGACCTCCGCGACGAGAGCACGGCCACGGGGCGCGTCACCAACGTGGACGCCTTCATGAACGTGCGCCTGGCCGAGGTGACCTTCACGGACAGGCAGGGCTCGGTGTCCTGCCTGGACGAGCTCTTTGTGACCGGCAGGAACGTCCGCTACGTCCACATCCCCGACGAGGTGGACATCAGGGCCACCATCGAGCAGCAGCTCCAGGCCATCCACAGGGTCCGCTACTTTGGGGGCCGCGACAAGGGCAGGAAGGAGTTCCCTCGCGCCAAGCACAAGTGAGCCCCTGGACTTGCCCCTTCACCGGACTGCCAGCCGCCTCCACGCCTTCCCCCAGGACTCGGGGCTGTGCTGCTCCCCTGGCCGGTGCCTGCCGGGGAGGAGGGTTAATTTTTTTTAATGAATAACTCTGCTTTAGAGGGTCTGTGATCTGAGATCATTTCCTGTTCCGTTGGCAGCTCCTTGTGTCCTTCCTCTGATGGTCCAACAAAGGCCTTTTGGCCAAAGCCGTGTTCTGGGCTTGTTGCTCAGCCCCAGCCATCCTGCAGCTTTGCTCACGGATCTGCAGTCCTGCTGCTACCGGCACCACTGCCCCATGGACCCGCTGGTCCTGAGCTGGGGTGGGGCTGGTGGCCTGTCCCCTTGCTGTCCTTCTGCTGGGCTGGAAGTGTTTAACGGGAGGAGGGTGAGACGAACGTCCCTCCAGGGCTGAGCTCGGAGGGGAAGGGGCAGCACCATCTGCCTGGAGAAGCATAAAGGTGCTTCTCTGGGGACAGGGGGAGCTCTGCATCCCTGCTGCGCTGTCAGCCATCCCCAGGGCCCTGTGGCAGTGCCGTGAGCGCTGTACGGCCAACAGTTGACTTTGGCCTCTTCCCGCAGGGCTCCCTTGGTTCTCCAGCACCATTGGCCTCCTCATGCGGAGCTGGGGGTCCCTCTCCCCTGGGGGGAGCCGTTTGCACCGCTCCGGGCCTGTGCCCCACGCTGGGGCGGTGACAGCCCCGGGTGCAGCCCTGGGCCCGGAGCACGGCCCGGGGAGACGGGGGTGTTTCAGGAGCTCGGGTGTAAGAAGCTGCGTGTGAAGAGAGACCGCGGGTCCTGCCCGGTCGGGGCAGCAAGAGCCACGGGAGCGCTGGGGAGGCCGGAGGGTTCCTTTGGGAGGCCGGGGACCCCTCTGCTGCAGCCCCCGGGCGGCCCGCGGTGTCCAGGCCTCCGTGGGCGGGGCCCGCCAGCAAAGCACCCGCCTCTCGGCCAATCAACGGCGCTTTTGAATCTCCCGCGTGCTCCGTGAGCTCCCCGCTCGGAGCGGGAGCCAATGGGTGGAGGGAGTCCTCGCGCCCCAGCCAATCAGCCCGCGCTTCTTGCCGTCCCTCTCTTCTCCACGCCTCGACCAATCAAAGTCTGCCGCAAAGATCCCCCCTTTCCAGCCTCCAGGCTCTCCGCCAATTGCGGCCGGCGCTGGCTCAGGCGGCCAATCAGCGCCGTCGCTTCCCGGCCGCCGTCTCTGCGGCGGCAG